GCTGCTAATGATGGCCCATGTGTCCAGGATCACTTTTTCTTTGAACTAACGTTGACATATCGGCCAGAATTCGAGAACCTTGGTGAAGACCTGGTTGAGCGCCTATAGAACAATAATAGTCAATAAAGAGTGATATCAAAGGGAACAGGGATGAACGTACATCGATGACTCCCTGGAGGAGATCCTTCAATTGTTCGGGAGTCAAGCCCTCGACAGTTCCATCAACGGTACCGACAACATCATTGACGGTGCTCTTGATGGTGCCAGTGGGATCTTCAGCGAGGCCCTTCAATGTGTCCTTAAGCGTCTCGACGACCTGGCCGAGGAGGGGCTTGACCAAGCCAGCAACAGCGGTGACCTCACCAGTGGGGTCGGCCACAATTTGCTCTATTGTGATACCATCAGCGACATAGAATAAGAGTGGCAGGTGAGGTGTGAGCATACGTACCAATTTGCGCGGCGAGGCCCTTGGTGTTGACACTGAGAGCCATGGCGAGTTTGCCAATCTTGACCGGAACAACAACTTCGGCACGCTTGGCAGCGAGTTCAGCATTGGGAGCTGGAACGGCGACTGGGGCCGCAAAGACGGAGGTGACTGCGGTGAGAGCAGCAAAGATTCCGAAGAAACGCATGATTATGATTGGTGAGAGAATGTGGTGTTCAAAATGAAGGTGGAGAGCGAGTCAAAGGTTTGACGAGCGTCGAGGGAGAGACTTGAGTGTAAATTTGGGATGAGGGAAAACATCGACTCGTTGAAGTTGAGATGGTTATATAGGGTGGCCAAATCATTTCCATTTGCCCCCTCCGATGGACAGTGGGGCGGCTACACGCTTACCACACTTGGAGCGAGAAGACTTCTCTCCCAAGACAGAAGAATGCCGAAACAACGGACGGTATATTCAGAGAACATGGCCATGTTTGGGATTGTAGTCAGGTAGTTAGGTGACGCTCGATTCCTGCATTTTGAATTCGAAGCCGAGTAAAACCCCACGGCCGCGTTGCCTCTTCCCTGTACAATAGTGCGTCGCCCTGATTCGGAATGAGTGGAGCTGCCGTTAAGAGCACTTAGCCCATTGAATGGTGAAAGAACATGAACCAGATGACCTCGTCCAGTTTGTCGACAAGAAAGCACCTCCGCTCGCTCCGCTTGCGCCTAAGAGGGCGCCATTAGGCTTCTCTCCTCGTTTGTAGTGGAGTGTCCATCCTCTAGGCTAATTTCTCTAAACGGTGTAGAGTAACATCTATTTTGGGTGATGAAGTTGGCCCTCCGCTCGTCCAGATGGCTCGCAAACGCGTCGTCTCGGAACGAGCAGAGCTGCTAATGATGGCCCATGTGTCCAGGATCACTTTTTCTTTGAACTAACGTTGACATATCGGCCAGAATTCGAGAAAACTATTTTTTTGTCAATTAGCCCGGAAAGCGGAAGGGAGTCAACGTAGTTCATCTGGCCGCCTTCTCGTCTTCCCTTTTCGACAACTGACAGCCGCCCGAATCCAGAATATCAGAACCCAAGCTAGAATGAGTAGTCCTTCGCAGCTCAGTACGACTCCGATTGCAAAATCGAATTGGACGACGAACCAAAACTGTGTTCACCCCAACGGACCATTCCTCCAGTGTGATTTCGAGTACGGATCAGGATTCATTTGATGATGTAGATGAAGAAGAGACTGCTTCTGAATTCTCTAATACGC